CGTGTCCCACAGCCCTGCAGCCCTCTGCACAAGCACACTAAACTCTCCCATGGTAAACAACATTTACGCCATCCCAGCACAGACGTGACAGCAGACAGGAGAGCACAGGGCTTTGCTCGCATGAGAAAGACACCACAAGGTGCTGCATTCCGACGCAGTTCAGAGACCTGCAAGACCCTGCAGCTGGCCCGCTGCAGCTGCCTGCGTTGCTCTGCGGGGGAGGCCACGAGGCAGCAGCGTGCACACCTGTGACTCCAGCCACCGCTGGCGACACGGGAGCGGGCATGGGGAGGGGAATGAGAGTTACAGTACTTACACTGATTTTATTCATGAAAAACCAAAAACGTATTTACTGGTGCAGGGATGTTGCTGGAATCAGTTTTTATGGGTGTTTACTGATCCACCTGTAACCACATACCAGGCTGTCTTTAGGAACAGGACCGGATCCAGTCGCACTGGAAGTGGGTTCACAGCCTGCTCTTTAAGCGTTCCCCCCCTTTCCGGCCTTTTCTCTTCCACACAGAAGAGCTTACCTATAAAAGCCTCTTGATAAGCTCTCTTGACCCTGAAGTTTCCTGGGCAGGGTTATTTGGAGTGTGCTATTCAACTTTCTTCTTCCTATTTCTGTCATTAATCAAAGCCACCTGACACTGTGTTCCTGAGTTTTAAAACAAACAGGTCTCCTTCCTTTAGCCAGGGCAGAAGAAATGCCTGTGAGCTAATCTCGAGAGCATGTTTTTCTTGGGCTGTTTCCTGGGAGAAAGAGCAGAGTGGAGATCTGAAAGACAACGAGAGCAAGAGATTGTCCTTGGAAAGCGAGCCAGCCTGGGTGTGCAGAGAACCCCTCTGTCTCTCCTCAGTGGGGACAGCAGAGGTGTTCTCGGGAGGGACACCTGTGGAACATGCGCGGGGCGGGCTAGCGGACGAGCTCGCCCTCTTTTCTGCTAGCATTCATTTGCAGCTTCTGACCACGTCTATCTACGGTGGCTCAGTGCCAATTCCCACCCACTCAGGATCGCGTTCCAGGTTCACCAAGTGCTCACACCCAGCAAACTCGGAGCACTTGAAGCGCAGCACTAGGTAGAGGTCTGGCATTAGACGAAGCTCATGTAAGACAAAGGACAACGGAAACGTGCACCGTCGGATATTTGGGATGCTGAGGAAAAAATTAAATGAAGAGCACAGCGTACCAAGTATTCCTGGTCTATTCCTTTCGAGAATACTTAATGATGTCATAATGAGGGTCTTGGGCCCTCACCGCTACGATCCATTGCAAACCCTTGGAACTGTCCTCTTTGCCCCTCAAGATGGAAAAAAGGCTGGTGTGAGGTTAAATATTCTCCCCCAAGGCTGTAGAGACATATGATCACCTTGAGCCAATGAAGAACCGCAAGAAAGCCAGCTCACGCATGCTTCCTTTTTTTGAGGGGAGGGGGTTTATTTTAACTGTCCCCATCATTATTATAGTTGCTAATTTAAGCATTTGCACGGAGAAAGTATTTAATGAGTATGACAGGGGATGCCATCTTTTGACTTGACCTGATAAAGTCATTTCTTTGCCAAGTTATTATTTCAGGCTCTGCTTAGCCAATGTTTCTCTGTCCACACATTTTATGGATCCCAAGAGATGACGGCTACATTTCAAATGCTGAAGCTAAATCACTCCTTGAATTACTTTGGGACAATGACCCTGGGCAGTAATTCAGACCCTGGCTGAAATGTGTGCAGTCCCATTACGTGTTCAAAACTAAGAACTACCTTATCCTACAGCAGAGTTCTGCAAAAATTGTCCAACATATGGTTTAAGATATTAATCCCCAAGAACAGGAATATCTAACAGAAAATTCTCATCTTTATGGTTCAAAAAAATAAGATAAAGGGTCATTGTTCTAACTAATGGAGATCATAGACAACAGCTTTCTTTTTTCAAAGATTCAACCTGAAAGCCTGTATGCATTTTCAGACATTAACTATCTAGACTTGCTTTTTTGTTCATTATTCACTGCTTCTTGACAAGTTATTACTGATTTTCACTGCCAGCTCCCTACAGCAAGACCGGAAGCCTTATCAAGGAAAAGAAAATGTCAACAGAGTTCTCAGCCAAGCTCTGCTGAAACTCAGGTTCACATTTTAGGATATTTCTCTACAAGTGTTAAAGAAACAGAATCTCCTTTCTCCAAAGCACAGGTTTTGTATGGTATGCTGATCCAAAAAAGTTACCACGTTTTTGTTTTCATGTGTGTGCATGTGTGTTGGGAAACGGAAGGACATAACGCTGTTCAAGAAGCCTGGAATGTTCTGCATAGAGACAGGATAGATGTATCAGCTATACTCCCCAAATCACTACAAGGCCCCCTCTGATCAGCAATGACGCTGATCCAGACTGCCAAGCAGAAACGGGTGGGCTATTCTGCTCTCCCACCCTCCCTCTTAAATGTGTGCTTTCCACAGCAAGCCTCGCGGGCATGTGCTGGTGTGTACCGGATCCCACAACAAAGTTCAGTTCCTTTTACAGAGTCAGCTGGAACAGGACGGACTCAAACAAGGGTGGGCTGTCTGTGTACAGCACTGGACCAAGGGTTGACCCGAGTAGATTCTGCCAGTTTAGCCCAATCCAGGGTCAAGCCCTAGAGTGCTGACCAAGTTTGACCAGCCAGCCAGTGAGTTACTGTGTGGCAGACTGACAAGTCTCATGTGGCGTTTCCACTAAGCTGACAGCCAGCAAATGCAACCTAGTCCAATCTACCCTGCTCCCTGGGGAGGGGTTGTGTGTGACACTCTGACCTCAATTTAAAGATAGGACAAATGACACAGCCCCTGAGTTGGCCCTGGCTAAATATTATACATCAAACAGTGACAGCTGCTCCTTCTAGAAACCTAATTTAGTCATTTGGCTATAAGAAAGTTTAATCACACGAGAGAATAAATAGAAAGGCATCCCTTCTAATGTTTTCTTCTGGGTGCATATTTCATTCTTGCAAAGATTGTTAAGTCTACTTCCCAAAAGAATAGGAAAATATGCTTAACTCCTGGAAAATGTGAATTGTACTTTAATGTAAAAAATAAAATAAAAAACAAAAAGCTCAAAACAAATACAGACACAGTTTAATTCACAAATCTGATTTGGTAGGCTTCCAGTTCAAGAAAGAGCTATTTGACAGAGAACTGAGTTTTAATTCACTCTTTCCAAATAGGTTCGGTTCCCAAATGAAACCAAACAGTCAAGATGCCGAACGCACGCACATCCGGTTCACATTTTTGTTTCTCTATATTCTGGCCATCATCTTTCTGGGAGTGTCTGTTGTGTTCATCACGGGCACACTGTGCTGGGTGCTGTGGTATTTAAAAACACTGTATCCACCTTGGGGAGGAAGGAATGGCAATTTCCTGAACCTCACCTGTTAACTGCATTGCTCTGCTTCCCTTCAATCCCTCTCTGCATCCTGGTCACCTCATCAGCGAGGATTAGTTTTCTTAGTCAAAGCAAATCATATTCCAAATTATTTCAATGCCCAAAAGGTTGTTAGGAAGCAAAGTGCACTATTGTTTTATTTCCTAATTTAGCACAACCATCCCCAGAGGAACTGTGCCATTTTAACCAGTAACAGCTGCCCAGAAGTATTTACTTTAAGCCATCCAAAAATCTGGTTTGGCAACCAAAGCAGAGGAGAACGTGCCTCCAGGCTGGTCATTTATGAAGGGCTCAGGTGCTCACATGCATGCCTGAAGCCTTCCAGGTTCTGTCCAAATTTAGAACGTGGGGCTCTGCAGGCAGGAAAAGCAGTGACTCAGCACTTACCTTCCCTGCCTTGGAATTCAGGACACTCCGTCCGTGGTCAAAAAGGTACCTGTGTCTAACACTAACTGCATCAAGAAAGGAAGCCAAGTGAATATTAAAAAAGGGCTTTTGCTTGAAACACTTGAGGTTTTTTTTTTTTCAATTTAAACTGCACATCTAGGTCTTGTTTAAGCTCCTGTACACAACAGGCTGATCATGACAACTGTCAGGGCTCAATTTCACAATTTCTATTGATTTGGCAGGAGACGTCCTCTGTGTCATCCTCCCAATGTCTCTGTGCCCTTCCTTCTCCTTCTGAGGACTTCTGTGTTCGTTGTCTTTGCCACCTTAACGTCCTATGCACTCCCATCTGGGCTTCCTCACCCTCTGATTCTACAGTTAGAGTGGCAGGCGTGCTCCTTTGTTGCGCAGACACATAACAAATTCATTCATTTCCCGACAGCGAAGATCTGAAATGTGCTCTGAACTCCCAAGAAAACAATCGTGGGTTCTAATTTTAGTGGATGCCAAAGACTCAGTGGTCTGGAGGTCAGGGATGAGTATTCAGAGCCTGACCAGGGCAGGGAGTGTTGAAGGGATACTACCACCTCCCAGACCTGCGGGGACCCCGTTGTCAGAAAGAGGCAGATAAATATTTAGAATATATGCAGAATAGCTATGCTTTCTTTCTTTAGTTATAGAACAAAAAGGGTGGTGGAGGAAGGGATTTCTTGAGTCCACATCTGAACCTGCAATGGAACAAGGAAGAGCGCAGGTCTGGAGAAGCTGCCCGCAGCTGCCATGCGCTGCGCAGCCGCCAGCCATGCAGAGGGCTGAGGACAAGAGTCACCTGAACGGCGCTAGTAGGACCAGGCGGATGGCACCTGGAAGGGTGCAGGAGACTGTTGTTGGAACATTAACTGCTCCATCCTGCTGGAAATGGGGCCGAGAGCTTCAATCAATGTTCTCGGGCTTACCACCCAGATACAGATTTTTGTGATTTCATTGCAATCAAGAAGTTTACACCAACTTCATACAAACAGAACAGGGATCAAAGCAAGAGCGCAACCTGCCGAAAGTGAAGTCTGCAGGCTGCCGGTCAGACTTCATCTGTGAGCTAACCAAACGAGAAGGAAACGTGCCCCGCTGCAATTACACAAGGTGGGTATCTCACGCAACATAAATCTCCTTTCCCTTTCTCCCAGAACCACCAGTGCTGATGTTTAAATATCGGTGAAACACAACATTTTTAATTTCACACCTCACAGAGCACAGTTGAATACTTCATAACAACGTAAACAAGAGTTAGGCTAAGCACTGCAGACAAACTGGGGGGGATGGCGTCCCCTGCGGGCTATGCTCCGGGTTGCCAGGGAATGTACAACTAACAAACTGCTTGGCTAAGGCCACAGAAATGTGTTTTTCAGTGTCTTGGCTGCTGATGCCAGTCTCTTCTGACCGAGATGTGTTAACACTGGGTGCAACTAACCAAATCACTTTCCCAGGATCAATCGGGAAAACTCGCGTCTTATTTCTTCCTCGATTTCTTTTTGGTGGTGTCATAAGCACGAACGATTTCTTCCTGAGTCACAGCTCCGTGCTCTTCTTGAGAAAAGGCATACCCATCTGAAAGAGAATCACACAGCAGCACCTGGTTACCAGGGGCGTCAAGCACTAGGTTGTGAGTAAGCTGCTTTGGGGGAAGACTTGGCTGAACTGTGTGGGAAACACTGGCCTCCTGCACCGTGGACAGGCGGAGGCCCGAGACAAAGAGGCCTGTGGCCATGGAGGGGAACGTGAGATGTGAGGCGTGGGAGCAGGGCGGGGGTAGCCTGACTGGGCCCAGAGGGTTCTGGCTGCTGACAGTGGGTGGGGAAGGCTCCGAGGGGCAGGTCTCCTATTTCTAGGGGGCTGCGGCTGAGCTCAGGGTGAGAAGCACAAACAGTGGTCACCGGTCCACATCTCCACGTACCCACAGTCAACCACAAGGAGACATCCAGACCTGCCTGACGCTGCAGGCTGGATGGCTAACTTATGGAGCTGTAAACACCCCATGCTAATAACAGTGAGAGCTGGCAAAGCACACGTGATGCTTGGAGGGCTCCTGTGTTTAAACTAGACTGATCTGGACTGGTAATAAGTAGTTGAAGTGGGCTTATTTCCACGTAAATAAAGAAAAGGATAAAGTCAAGAGAAATTTAGTGATTCCACCTGTGGCCACAGGAAGACTGGTTCTTTTACAGTCAGTTCATATAATAATAATAATACAATAAATAATAGCCAACACTTGCTAAATGCTATTTATATGAGGTGATGTTCTATATACTGTTTTCAAATCATCCGTTTAATCCTCCCAGCAACTCTATGAGATCTGTGAGAGTAAGCTTCCCACTTCACAGATGCGAAAATGGAGGCAGAGAGATTTGTGTGGCTTGCCCAAGGTCACAGACAGGCAGGGTGCCTGCAAGGCCCTCACTCTCTGCCTCCCCAGTTCTGAAAGAGGTTTAGTGTTCACAAGCCCAAGGTGGGGCTTTGCTTCCCACAGGCTCTTACCACAGAAAGGACGCTTATAAGACTCACTCACCATTGGCCAGCCCTTCTGTGCCAGGGGTACGAAAAAGTCTCACAGCTCAATTAGACATTCTGGCCCAAAGACAGCACGGTAAAAAGCCTGACAGCTGTGAAGCCCATCCATGCCTGTTTATGACTTATCAATGGAGCTGTTAGTGCATTGCCATACTCTTTAAAAGGTGAAAAAGAAATCAGAAAACGTGGCCATGTATCAGCTCCTGGATGCTTTGTTAATTTCCTCAGACATTTGGCTGAAATGTCTGAAATGTTAGAAAGGAAAGTTTCTAGGGTATGAAGACATACAATAGCAACATGTAAGAATATCCATGGGGATGGAGAACAGGTGGAAACTTCAAAAGAAGCTCTTTGGGCTATTTTCTGACTCTGTGTAGCCCACGACCCGGCAGTGCCTGTCCCTGGGCTGGCATCCTGGCTCTTCCAGAGAGCATGCCTTCCAGCCGCTGCCTGAGAAATCCCAAGGCTCAGGTTAGCCTGTCCGCAGGGGTGGCCGGGAGTTTACCGAGGACATGGGGGCTGAGCAGCTGGGAGGAGGGCTGGGACCAGCGAGGCCACAGGAGGGAGAGAGTGGGCGGGAGAGAAGGCAGAACCAGCCAGGTGAGGGTGAACGAGGACAGAGAGGAATCTTCCACAGGGGACTTCTGCCTACTTGCTCACCTCCATTTCTAACAAAACCAAACCCACAAACCAATAAATCCCACCACATGGCAGCCATAGTGTGGCAGCCCCCAGATGGTGTGAGCCCCCCAGATGCATGGGTAAAAGAGTGGATGGGTCGCTGGGCTGGAGGACAGAAGCCTGCCCAGAGGCAGAGGCTCCTGCGGGGCAGGGGTGCTTGTGCCGGTGCTCTGCCCTGGGCCCACACTGGGTGCACTCAAACCTCCTCCTTCTGATGGCTCCACACGAGGTGGCTTTAGAGTCCTCATGTGATCTGACCCGACCACTGGAGAACCAGTGTTGCCTCTCACCTCTGCTCCCCTAACAGCTTTTGGATTTTTGTCAAGTTGCTTGATCAGAGATCACCAGGCGTGAGGAGGCCTCCCTTGCCCAGGCTGCTCCCAGGCTCCTGCCTCCCTCCAGCGCTGGGCAGCACACGTACCTCTGCCCCAGACCCTGCACAAGGTGCTCCTTGTGAAGCATTTTTGCTTCAGTCCAAAAGGAGACACCTTTCCTGGGGATGTTTTAAAGCAAAATCCAGCAAATAACACTGTCTCCTCTGGAAGCAAGGCCATGTACTGCACTCAGCTTGGACAATTTTTGTCCTCTGGTCTTTTAGAAAGGAATGTTTCCTGTAAGCGTGTGATTATCTGATGTGTCCCTGAGGGGCACACAGCCATTGTCTCTGGACCATGGCAGTCCTGCCACTGACTGTGGCCGCTGCACCACCCGGGGGCTCATCATCCCACAGAAGTGGTTCTGATCAATGGATGGTCTTCAAGAGTAGTTGGAAGTGTTCCTTACGAACGCTGCTGGTGGAGCAGAGGTGCGGAGCTCTCCACCCTGAAGACAGCTTTCTCCTCTCCCTCGGCTTTCATCTTGGATCCAAGTGGCTAAAGCACTGAGGGCAAGAAAGGATGGTTCTGGTTCTTGCTTGGCCATCACTTGGCCATGTGGCCTTTAAGCCCTCTGGGTCTTGGTTTACTTTCCTGTAAAATCAATAGCCTGGACCTGTGAGGCCCAAGTCCTCTCACAGCCCCAGTCCCCCACATGGGCTACAGGACGCTTCCCTGGCTAACCATCCCAGGCTGCAGAATCATCTTTGTTCAGTGCTAATTCACACCCTGCATGCACCAGCAGCGGAGGCCACATCAGAAGAGAAAGGAGCCCGTCTCAACAGTCAGTGCTATTAGAACATTTACTAACGACAAACCAGAAATGTGCTCTGAGCGAGGCCAGCTAAATTCCTAAGGCCTTGGGAGAGGTCTGGGATGAGCCAGCAGCCCTATCCCCACATCCTGAAAAATGTTTATCCTAAGACTTTTAGCTTAGAAGCTCAAAATGCTGTCACCAAAGGAAATCAATTAACTCAGGAACGCTGAAAAAACATCTTGTGACTCTTGCTTATCAATAGAACGTAGCCAGGAACCAATCATTAGCCTATACGACACCATGTAACCAATGAAAAACCTGACCTACTGATTCAGAGGCCGCCCTCTTCCCTCTGTCCTCCCTTTCCCTGTGATTATAAAAAATACTGAGACCTGGCTTGCAATTTAGAACACATGGTGCAAGTCCTCTTGAATCTGTATCTTCCCAGGCTGCGATCACACGTATTTTTGCTCAAATAAATTCTTTGATATTTTATCAATGCCTTAGTTTCTTTTTTGGGGGGGTCAACACTTTTTTTTTTGTAGGGGGTAGGAAATGAATGGGGGACTCGTTGAGACATAAACATAAACATTGTGTGGGAGTGTCCTTTTGGGAAAATTATCTTAGCTTTTGGAATTGTCTACTCCCTGTTCAAATGGAAGGAGCAAAAGCTTTTTGTTTTATTTATCCTGTTTTTCATTCATAACACGCCTGTGCCTACTGCAAACCCAATCCCAAGGGCTTCGTTAGCTCACAGCTCTATCACTTCCTCAGTTTGCATTAGTAACTGCCACAGGGCCTCCGATGGGCTTGCAGTGGGATGACTCGGCCACTCTGGAGGAGGAAGGGTTTCTAGGTTTTCCTCCAAAGGTGCAGGCAGACAGGAACTCCTCGTCCTAATATAACCTCTTCTCCCAGGTAATGCCACCCCACCCCAGTCCCCACCGGCTGCACCTACCATCACGTCTCCAGAATGCTGGGCGCAGAGACTTAAAGTGGGATTCAAGAATGAAAGGAAGATTGCCTCGTAGGTTTATCCTGTGTGTGTGTGTGGTGGTGGCGGGGGCTGGGGGGTATGGTCCCTAGTTCAAATAAAATATTTTCATCTTAGAAACCAGGCCTGGTGGGAGTTAGAGCCATAATGGGGGAAGTTTTAATGGAACAACAGGCACCATAACTGCTCACCTGGCCTCCGCCTGCCAAGCCTTCGCAAAGATGCAGAATCAGCTCACCAGATTCTGCCTGATGAACATTTAACTGCCATTTGCATCCAACAGGGGGCTCAGAGGAAGCCCCCAGCTTTCTGCATCTCCCACTTTCATTCATTTTTCAGGGAGACCTGAGAGCCAGAAAGTCACGATGGGGGCCTGGAGGAAGCACTGCATGGACCCAAGTCACCAACCCCCCCGGCTGCCTTCCTAATGCACCTGCTTCCTAAATACTCAGCCAGAGCCAGAATCTGGGGACAGAACTGGGTAGTAAAAGAAGAGGGAGGGTAGGTGAACTTCTTAGTTGTTTTGTCTTCTCTCATTTGGTGAAGTCCATAAAATTTGGTCGTTTTTTCACTATTTTAGAATAAAGCTCTCCTAAAGTAGCATTCCTTTGAATCTGAGCTCTGACAGCATCTTAATGAAAGCTCCAGTTTCCTGTGTGGAAAGAGATTCCTAACAGCCTTAGAAATGGGGAAGACCACGGGGACAATGAAGAAATTAGACTGGGTAGGAAATGTTGATCTCAGTTACAAATATTGTACGTTGGTAGCTCTTAGGAACCAAAAATACTACCAAGATTAGACTTTTTCTTTACAATTTCCTGGGGAGACTGAGGCCCATGACAGCATAGCCAGACCCAGGAGGGACATGTGAAGGGTGAGACAGCCATACAGACCTTCTTGCCCCCAGGGAGCAGTTCCGACTGCTGGATGATCTTCTCTAGTTGTTAATGACAGAAATGTCCTGTTATCCATCAGGTTCCAGTACTAGTTGCTGAGTGCTTTAAAAACGTGCTGTGATTTTAGAAGCCTTCTTATATTTATTCAGTAGATTTTTTTTTTTTTGGGGGGGGGCCTTCAGAATATGTACTTAAGAAAAGGATTCAGTAGTTGTCCTAAGATATTTACGACTCTTCCATAAAAGCTGTCGCTTGGTCTTTGACCGCAGTATATACCCTGCCCGCGTGCTTCCCATGGTTCCTTTGAAGCACTTATGAGAGAAGCGGTGGCTCAAGCGCGTGAACACTGCGGCGTAGGGAACCTGTCCGCGTCCTCTCTGTGCCTGGCACACAGAAGGTGCTTCACACACATCATCATTAAGTCTCGTAAAGACTGTGTAAGATGCATATTACTATAATCCTATTTCTTTTTCCCAAGGAAAAAATAGAAATTTAGAGAAATATGTTGCCCGAAGTTATTCAGCTAATGGCAGATTAATAATAATAATAATAATAATAACACCTAACATTTGTTAGACTTTTTATAGCATCCAGCACTGTTCTAGGCACCTTATATAAATGATCTCATTTAATCCTCCTAATAACCCCTCGTAGATTCTCGTATTATCCTCATTTTACAGATGCAGAAACAGAGTTTCAGTAACTTGTCCAAGGTCACGAAAAAGTGGCAGAGCAGGGACCCCAGCAGTCCAGCTCCAGAGGGGGTCCCCACAGACAGAACTGCTTGGGCTACCCCATCGAACCTCCCGACTTGGTCTCTCTCCTGGGTCAGAGACCACGGCTGAGACTCGGACCCCACAGCAACACCAGCCGGTCACTCTTCGGACCTGCCCTCTGCTTTGTGCTCTCCGGCTGTGCCACCCACTCCTGGGGGTGGGAGGGTTTAAGGACACAAAGTATGTCAGCCCCGCCTCTGAGGTGGCCTCAGTCCCGTTGCTCCCCGGTAGATATTCCACATGAGAAAGCCTGCGCATACCTGCTGACAGGTGGCATATGAATGACTGTACCTAGGGCTGCCACAGTGCTACTACACAGGAACTCTTCACTTCATAAACCGCTCTTGTTCTTCCAGTTCTTTCCTTCTAAACTCCTCGGGGAGGGGAAGGCAAGCAGGGAGTGGGGTGTGGGAGGACAGCGGGTGTGGGCACATGGGGGTGAGGGGGCGAGGGCTGGAGGAGGCGGCCTGGGAGGCACCGGCCCTGGGGCAGGCCGGACTCCCTCCGTGGGAGGTGCATGGCTGGAGGCTAAAAATAGGCCCGGGAGCCCCAAGGAGCTCAGAGTGAGAGGTCTGTCGCAGCTGCTCGCTCACTCGCCACTCCTCTGGGTCTGGGGGCAGTGATGGAGGGGGTGGGGATGCCAACTGTAGATGTGGGGCAGCCTTCCTGGGAAAAGCAGAGATTTTTCCCCCAGTGATTGCCCCTGCTTCAATTAATAGGCCAGTGTTGAATGAAATAGTTCCTACTGCTATTTTTGGGAACAACAATTTTTAAAAAACCACTTCAAAAATATCCCTAAAAAGTCCTCTTGGGAGGCTGACAGAGGATCTCGAGCAACGTCAGGATGTTAGGCTTATGGATTCTGTCATTCAGGCCTTTGGGTCCCCGGGGATCACCCACATTCAAGCGGCACTTGCCTCGGGCGGGACACGTGAGTGCCCGTCCCCGCCCCGCCCGGCCGGGTCCCCCGTCCCGACTGGACGCCAGCTGCTCGGCAGGAGGGACACAGACACAGCGCTACTCACGCGGGACGCTCTGCTGGACCGAGCTGCCGCGGAACAGCGTCGGGGGCGTCTTCCTGCCCAGCCGCTTGATGAGGCGGTCGCGTTCGTTCATCCTGCGGGGAAGGCAAACACGCTCAGTGTCCAGGTCACCTGACACACCTCAAAGGGACTCGGGGAATAGCTGCAGGTCGTAAAAGAAGACAGACGTCCCGGGTCTGACAGCCCCTCTCCCGCCTGCGACCGCCTTTCCACCTTTCCGAAGCCGACACGCCAGCCCCGGAGCAGCCCAGGACCTGAGACTGACGTGAACCACAGTGAAACCAAGGTGGGTTTTCTAAAACACAAGCACGAGGCACTCTCCCTGCCTTTCCTGAAAGTATTCCCTGCAGGGCTGCCAAAGCTGTAAGGAAACATGGAGCCGTCCTAAAGGACAGCTGTTGTTGATTTCTATAAACCCAAGGGGTGTATGAACATCCTGCCCCTGCAGGCCAGAGTGCTTGGGTTTCTCACCATCAGGATGCCACTTTGCTCGCCCCATGCATGACAGTCTGCCAGTGCCCTCTATATCGGGCTGAATTGTGTTTTCCCCAAATTCATATGTTGAAGTCCTAATCCCCCAGAACCTCGGAATGGGAGATAGGGTCTGGAGAGGTAATTAATGAGGTCATTAGGGTGGGTCTTGATCCAATCTGACGGTGTTCTCATAAGAAGAGGCGATTAGGACACAGACATGTACAGAGGAAAGACCATGTGAAGACGCGGAGAGAAGATAGCCACCTACAAGCCAAGGAGAGAGCCTCAGGTGAGAAACCAACCCGGTAGATACCTTGAGCCCAGACTTGCAGCCTCCAGAGCTGTGAGAAAACAAACTTCTGAAACCCCCCAGGAACTTTGGGAAGAGCAGAGATTTTTTTCCCCGGTGATTGTCATTGCTTCAGTTAATATGCTAGTATTGAATGAAATAGTTCCTATTGCTATCTTTGGGGACAACAAACCCACCTATTCTTACATACTATCCTCCCCTTGCTGTTTGATTTCCATATCTTATTTTATCAGTATTTTATACACTCTTTCAGACTTTCCTTGCATCTCCACTTCTTGGGGAGCTAATTTTCCTATCAGTACGACTGAATGACTCTCCTTCATTATGGTTCATTTTCTATGTCTGCCCTAGTTCTTCAGAACTAGAATAATTTTTCTTTTGACTCTTTCAGGGCCCGTGGGATACACCAATCTTTATATTGATATCTTAGCTTTATATTAATATCTTGGTATTCCTGGAGCATTGGTGATAGTTTAAAATAAGCGTGGGCTTCCAGTTTCCAGCGGGTAATTCTTTCTTCTGTGCATTCCCCTGGGCACATAGTTTGACTCATTGCTTCCTTGTCAGTTGAATGAGTAAAATTCCTTTTTTTTTTTTTTTTCCTTTTTGTCTTTTTTCGTGTCCGGCAACGGATCACAACCCTCAGTGTCGCGCCCGTACCAGACCAGGACCGGCAACGGGATCGCAACCCTCAGTGTTGCTCCCACACCTCGCTCAGCCAGTGAGCGGGAACCGGTCTGTATGTGGGATCCGAACCCTCGGCGGGAGCGCCAGCGCACTCCCAAGCGGCGCACTGTAGCAGTGCGCCACCGGGCCGGCCCTGAGTAAAATTCTTCTAGTTTCTGTTTCATTGAAATGGCAGCCTTCCAAAATTTGCAGCTTTTTGTAAAGGGTTCTGGTCTATGTCACATAGGACTGAGGTCCTGTATCCTCTCCCCGAAACTCCTGCCTCTGTACCCTTCATGAGGTCTGATATCCCCGTGCAGCCTCCTCAGCTTCAGTGCCTGCTCTCTTCGTACCCTGCCTGCTCTCTTCGTACCCTGCCTGCTCTCATGTCACCCTGTTTCTGGGACCTGAATTTCCTTATCTTTCTTTTGAGTTTAATTATGTATTAAAAGTTTGTCTGTGTTTATATTTTACCTAGCACTTCTCTGTGTTTGGAAAACGTCTTTTCTGAGTTAGCTGAATCTGCCATATTGACTTGACCTGGTTTTCATAAATAATCTGCATTCCCCTGACCCAACTACTAGAAAACACCATGGCTACAGAACAAGATCAAGGAACTATTCTTTCCCAAGTCTTGCTATTCTTAGAAACAACCTTTTCTGGAGATTTAAAATGGCAATGGATGTGACAAAACTTTGTTAGGAAAGGGGAACCAGTGTTTATTTACACTCTACTGGTGGTGTCTGAGGCACTGACTGAGCCATGTGCTCCAATGTTGAAATGTCAAGGAACATTATAGTCTCAATTTACCTTCTTCTTTGGAGGAGACAAGATCATATTGTGAATGAACATTATTAAAGTTTCTCATGAACAATAATGTAGGAAAAGCTCAAGAAGAAAAAGGTAAAAATCAGGTTAACCAAATTTACCATTTACTGTATTATATCATCTATATATGGTTTACAAGCTACCTGCTCATAAAGACATAGCAAAAAAAGTGAAGAAAGCACAACCAAATATTTAGTTTGGTTAAATCTGAATAACGAGAAGAAAAGAAGAGTACAAATTAACACAGGGAAGAACAATTTAGAGCTATGAGATTTTTGTTTGCTTTTGAAAAGAGAGAAACTTCAACAAAATATTAGAAAACCAAATTCAGTACATTAAAAAAATTATATATCATGACCAAATGGGTTTTTTTCCCAGGAATTCAATGGTGGTTCAACATATGAAAACCAATCAATATATTACACCACATTAATAGAATGATGGAAAAAATACACATGATCATCTCAATCAATGCAGAAAAAGCATTTGACAAAATTTAATACCTTTTCATGATAAAAACACTCAGAAAACTAAGGATAAAAGAAAATGTCCTTAATACAATAAAGGGCATTTATAAAAAACTCACAGTTAACATCATACTCAATGGTAAAAGATTGAAAGATATCTTTCTTTGACCAGGAACAAGACAAGGATGCCCACTTTTACCACTTCTATTCAACAAATTTACTGCAAGTTCTAATCAAAGCAATTAAGCAGGAAAAAGAAATAAAAGACATACAAATATGAAAGATGTAAAACTATGTCTATTTTTAGATAATATGATCTTATATCTAGAAAATTCTGAAGAATACACACAAATTATTGGAGCTAATAAATTCAGTAAAGTTGCAAGATATCACATGAACAAATAAAAATCAGTTGTATTTCTACACACTAGAAATGTACAATTTGATAAGGAAATTAAGGAAAGAATTTTGTTTACAATGCCATCAAAAAGAATAGTATATTTAGGAATAATTTTCAGCAAGGAGGTATAAGACTTGTACACCAAAAACTATAAAACACTTCCAAAAGAAATTGATGAAGCCCTGACTAAATCAAAAGACATCCCATGTTCATGAATTAGAAGATGATACTGTTAAGATAGTCATACTAATCAAAGGCTTTTATAGATTTAATACAATTCCTATGAAAATCTCAATGGCCTTTTTTTTGTGGAAATGGAAAAACTGATCCTAGGATTCATATGGAATTTCAAGTGACCCCCAGAAGCCAAAACAGTCTTGAAAAAAGAAGAGCAATGTTATCAGACTTACACTTCCCTATTTCAAAACTTACTACAAAACTACAGTAATAAAAACAGTGTGGCACTGGTGTAAGGACAGACATATAAATCAATGGAATGTAATTGAGAGTACAAAATAAATGCATATATTTATTGCCAATTAACTTCCGACAAGCATGTCTAGAACGTATCCATTTCTTCTATATTATCCAATTTGTTGGCATATAATTTTTGATAGTAATTTCTTAGTACTCTTTGTATTTCTGGTATCTGTGCTGCATCCCGTAAGTTTTGGTATGCTGTGCTTCCATTTTCATTGCCTTAAATACATTTATGTCTTTGATCCTTTTTAAGTTAATTTTTGTATGTGGTAGGAATTAAGGGCCCAAGTTTATTGTTTTGCATGTAGAAATCTGGTTGTCCCAGCACCATTTGCTGAAGAGACTATTCTTTTCTTATTGAATGTTTTTTACATCCTAGTGGGCAAGGATGCTGAGAGAAGGGAACTCTTGAACTCTGTTGATGAGAATATAAATTAGTACAGCCAATATAGAAAATGGTATGGAGGCTCCTCAGAAAACCAAAAACAATGCAGACCAGTGGAACAGAATAGAGAATCTAGAAATTAATCCATGTACTTACAGTCAACTGATCTGCAACAAAGGTATCAAGAACATATATTGGGGAAAGGACAGCCTCTTCAATAAATGGTGCTGGGAAAACTGGATATCCATATATAGAAGAAAGAAATTAGACTTATACCTCTCACTATATACCAAAATCAACTCAAAATGCATTAAAAACTTAAATATAAGACCTGAAACTATAAAACTTCTAGAAGAAAACATAGTGGAAACACTTCAGGATGTAAGACTGGGCAAAGACTTTATGAATAAGACCTCGAAAACACAGGCAACAAAAGAAAAAATAAACAAATGGGGTTATATGAAACTAAAAAGCTTCTACACAGTAAAGGAAACAACCAACAGAGTGAAAAGACCACCTACAGAATGAGAGAAAACATTTGCAAAGTAAACATTTGACAAGGGATTAATATGCAGAATACATAAGGAACTCAAACAACTAAACGGTAAAAAATGAAATAATCCAATTTAAAAATGGGCAAATGGCCAACAGGTACAAGAAAAATAATACTCAACATCATTAAGCATAGGGAAATACAAATCAAAACCACACTGAGATATCATCTCACCTCGGTTAGACTGGCTATTACCAAGAAGACAGAGAGTAACAAATGCTGGTGAGGATGAGAGAAAGGGAAACCCTCCTACACTGTTGGTGGGACTGTAAATTAGTGCAGCCATTACGGAAAACAGTATGGAGGTTTCTCAGACAATTACAGATAGAACTGCCATATGATGTGGCAATCTCACTGCTGGGTATATACCCAAAGGAATGGAAATGATGTTGAAAGGATACCTGCACTCCCATGTCTATTGCCACTGTATTTACAATAGCCAAGATATGGAACCAACCTAAATGTCCATCAACGGATGACTGGATAGGGAAAATGTGGCATATCTATACAA